ACACATATTTATTGAAACTTTCAATCACAATCAATAAAAAGTGTATCTATTATAAGTTGTAGCAGCACTTTAAATAAAATGTATAAAATGGAGAGGCTCGATTAGAGAAAAGGTGGTTAAAATTCAAAACCGAGTGTCGTTTGGTAATGTTTATTATAACATCCTTTATTGCATACTTTATGCCAAAATTGCCAAACTGAAAACACCATTATAAAATAACATGTGCTCACCTCGTTCCCAATTACCAACCTCGCATTTTGTCATATGGGTATTTAAAAGTTATGGATATAATGTCAGACATATAAAATTTTAACAAACACACCAATTAATCTCAATCTTTTTGATGGCACTATCAATATTAAATGAGCATAATGCATAGTCACTATTGATATGTTCACAAGAAAGCTGACGATTATTTAAAGAGACAGATGATAAATCATTATTAATTCTCCTCCATTGAGTGTATGGTGGATTTTCAATGTCATGCAAATCTATCCACACAGCTCTTTTGTTTATCAATACGACGAGCTAGGTTATTGTTCAGCTGACAAAAAAATTAGGACAAGTATCTTTGAAATTGAAACCTCTACAATAATTGTTAATATTATTATTATTTACATTGATTATATTTAATTAATTATTTATTTACATCTTCATTGTGGCAATCTAGCACATACAACATCATAAACAAAAATCTATATCGATTCATATGCTTTGTAATTCTTGAAAAGGTGGATAGCCACGAAAATAACTGCTCGCATACTTCTGTATTCACATCCTGAACAAATAAAAAAAACATTTTTAATAAGTAATAATTATAAATGCATTATAGATATTGATTATTGCAATCATTGCAATGTTTAATAAGTATACAAATTACACATCTGATCAAGCAGCGTTCTCACTCACTGACAATAAACATTAACAATTATTAATTACCTTTAAAGCATTACAATTATAGGGGTTACAATTCCTACGACACCACTTGTCTGTATGATTTTTGAAGTGAAATCTGTCGCAAACCATTTCCATTTGTGCCAATTCTCTTGATGTTTTGGTGTCATTGGAACGAACAGGGTTTTTGCAGAACTTTTTAAGATGACAAGCATCGTCATAGCAGATTACTTCTGAAAATACAACAATATTAAAAAACACTTCAATTTTAATTAACAGCAAAAAAATTTAAGTACAAGTATTACACATTATCCTGCAGTATAATAATATTCCAACAAATATATAATTTCAATTCTCATTGATCCCAATTATATTAATGTTAATCATATTGTGTCTTATTACTATAACCATGCATTCTCCTGTACAAGCTCCTGCTAGAAGACAAACGATAATATACCAGGACTGAGTGCAGATTCAATGCAATGTGAATCAGTGGGTTTTACCTTCATAAATATAGATGAATAAATTTCATATTGTTGCCTCATTGTATTAATTTTACCTGTTGTCGACATATGTTCTTTGGTCATTAATTGATGGAGGTGACCGTAAACCTGTGATTTGCTTTCACTTCCAAACAGTTCACGGACATCAATGACCACACCACAAGGTCTTTCAAACACAAGAATGCCTTCAAAATAAAAATGTGTATAAAATATTTCACTTTAACAAAGCAATTTACATATTAATTTATTAATCACTTTATGTTTGTCATGATTTCATTTTTTTATAATGAACATCCATCATCATCTATAGGAGTCATTTCTGGGAAAAGTCCTAATACTTTATCGATATTAATGTTGATACAGTATACGCAAATCACAACACTTAATGATTTAAAATCAAATATGTCACATTTTGCTTACCTGCAGTTTTTGCATTCTTGCATTTGTGTTTTCCTTTCTCAGTTCCACAGATCAATGATCTTAGCTTAGATCCATCCTCATCCTCAACATAGTTATCATGATAATTTTCAACAGCAAATCCATGACTAAAGAACAACATGTTACGTTATTTTAATAAGACTTTCTTAAAAATTATACCTAGTAAAAATAACCTCCATTTAAATTAGGCTGTCAACTTCTATAGAAGTGCTCACTTCATTTGCAAAGTGAACACTTCATAGAGGTTCAACTGCATTTATCAAATTAATAGTAGTACATTTTAGAGTGCATGCAAACACCAAGTCTGCATAATCACTCCAATTCTGTTAAATATGTACTAACTTATGACTAGTGTCTTTAAAACTTTAAGTCCTAAGATAGCTGATATTAGTGACTAGCACTCATAAAGCAATAGCAGTTACTAGTAATACTCTTTATCAGATCATTTTATTTCAAAAGTCATAGATTATAAATTTAGTCATAAATATTTCACTTTTTCAGTTTCAATTGATATATACCTTTCAAAAACTTTTTCCTGCTTGTCATTTTCTTTGTGTTTATCTGTTACCATTGTATATTCCATTCTTTTTTGTCCAACTTCATCTACATCCACTATATGAATCTTGCTTGAATTTTCTAAAAACTTGGCGGGTAGATTACTCTCCTTTACCCATGTGCAGCGGCCATCATTCCATTTTATCTATAAAATTTAATAATAATTAAATGGTGAAGTCTCAAAATATATATTTCACATCTTACCTCAAAAAACTTGCCACTTCTAGTTTCCCTTTCATTAATTACACTGAGAGGGAGAAGATCATCTTTATCATCTTTATCATCACACTGTTTTTCATTCATCAAATTTTCATCATCACGAAAAGCTATAGAGGTTGTAGAATGATCTTTACACAATCGTAATCCTTTAGCTGGTGTATTTAGACAACCTGTAAGAGACATCAAATATTTCAATAAAGCAATACTATTCAAAATGATATCAACTTCACCAAATTTCCTAACCCAACATATCTATAATATAATAATTAAAACTATATGTCCAGCTATACAATCCAGCTGTATATCAAAAAACTTTGAAGTTCTAATAACTGCTTAGAAATCTTTTCTCAGAGTTGGACTATACATTATCTTACCAACTGTTATGGCACCAATCATCCCCTCAAATTGAAGCTGTGTAACACCTTTACAGGAGCAAACTTGTCTGCAATTTTTCATGTTCCCATCAATGACAACTACATTCTTGCATCCCTTATGTTGACAACTGTGTTCTAATTTACCAAATGTAATAGAATTACATTAGCAAGTTATATAACAATATTCATTATTATAACTTAACTATTTACATTTTTTTATAATCAGTAACACAAAAATTATAATTATTACTAATCTATATTTACCTTCTTCCTACTTCATTGATTACTAATAAATAGATCTTAGAGTACACACACTTAATCAGTACAACATAAATTGTATAGTTCTTTTCTAAAAAAATATCATTACAGCATATATATTTCATTTACCTGACCATTTGGAAACAAATATGCTGTGGAAGCAGATGACCACAAGTTTTGTCAATTCACTCTTGTCATAAGGAAAGTGTTCAATTTCAAAATTATGGCGTCTCATTAAATCAAGGGATGCGTATACAATAAATGCCTCCTCTAGCCTCCTGCGATCTAGGCCCTTCCTTCGTTTAAAAAGTTCTTGTGCTGTTTGTTTTCCTTTCCTATAAAGTCCAAAAGGTTCTTATAAGTATTTTAACACTATTAATTAAATATGTATAGTAGTTTCAATTAGTAGATATAATCATTTTCAAAACTTGGTAGTATTAAACCTAAGTATAATTAAGCTTATACAAGATAGTCATTACTGTGTATCTTCATTTTGTCACCAAAATTAACACCCAGACAAGATAAATCATTATCGATTAAAAATCGACTATATATTAAACGCATGACATGGATTTTGACATGACATATCTCTATGTGTTTTTTTTTCCGCATATCTGAGTCCTGCATTGCCATAGTAGTAAGTAGTATTAAACCGAATATATTAAGCTGTACTATGGATACGTGTTTCGTCTTTAAAACTCACAAAAAGGGAGTTGACGCTGTTTTCTAATCGTTATTAACATGTATCAAGTTTCATTTTAAATGTAAACCTTAATATATGATATCATTATTAATACATTAAATTCACCTTATATCCACTTTTTCTTCATCTATGCAAGACTGATCCTCATTTCCAAATCTTCTGTTGTATGATGACGCATAGGTTGAGAATGGCACAGCTCCAACAATGAGTAAATTCCCTACGTCTTTAAGCATATCAATGTCTATGGCCGTTTCTTCTGAAGTTAGTAAATAATTGCAGTCATCTAAACTCTCTTTGTCGTAGTGCTTGAATCCTTTTAAAGTCCAATAGCCACAATGTTCATGAATGTCACATCTTCTACAAATCTTAGTCATTCTTGATCCAACTAGCGGTCCATGTTTGAGGTCATATACCATTAAGTTGTGAGGTTTGTTCTCGACTGATAATTCTTTGCCACAGCATCGACACTTTTGCCTATTTGTCATTAAAAGATATCCTGTGGGAATGTTGCTATCAATTCCATATCCATGCAATACCTTCCGAAGTTCTTTTTCATCTTTAGCTGCCACTTCTGGATAAATTGCATTCAAACTCTCGCATTGGGCAGCGAACTCAGTTGCAGCAGCTTCCTCGTCTCCACTTAGTTTTGCTTTTATCCTTTCATGTGGTGATTGCAAAACAAATCTTCTCAATATCAAACACAATTTCTTTAACTTAATAAAAGTTAAACCAAAAATCCTAAATACAAATATCAATCTTGCTAAAATAGCGTAATCTCTTGTTAACTTCTCCATTTAGCTTTGATTGTTTCAGAGCCAGGCAGTGTGCAGTGACCGGTGACCAGTGAATTGGAAGTATGCAAATCAAAACCTGGTACCCAGCTCCACTCTAACACCCTTTTTCTTTTAGGTTCGCAAAAAAATTATTTCGTTCCGCAAAACTCACGCATTATCTTTAAATTTCTTGACTTTAATCAAACTTTATCATACTTTTTTATTGCTCGGTTTCCCAGCGGTAATTTTTAAGCAAAGAAAGACACTGATCGATAAGAACTTCGTAATAGATTTTTTACATTAATTACTTCATTGTCTTGGCAACAATGGCCACTCGATCCTTCTATAAAATGACATCATTGACAAGCTTTTGGCAGTTTTGGTACGGCTATCTACTTGTCAACTGTTTCAAGATGGACAGAGAAGAGCTTCTAAGTTACGCCAACTATTGTTACTCCTTAAGCCATCAACAGTACACTCAAGAACGCCGAAACCTACTTCAATTAATTGATGGTGAACTTTTTTTCCCATTACGTTCTTGGCCGAGAGCTTATAAATTGGCCTTTTGGGGTAAACCCCTATCAGACATAGATACGTTCCGCATTCTCTTATTCTTCATCGGCAATGGTTGTTTACCTCAACTTGCGCAGAAATGGATTATGTCATCGACATACTTATCAAACATAATTGTCAGAAGAAGAAGATTGAACCAGCTCCATTATCTATACAGACATATAGAACAAAGAACTAAACACAACACATGGTTCTACTACGACCTAAACAGAGAACTATATGTTTACCTCAACGGTAACATAAAATCATGATGCCCCAGCATCGAAAATCAAACAACGGCTCTTTTAAGAGCCAACACATTTACAAAACAATTGTCCATAATGCTACAATAAATATTTTAGTAAGACGCAAATGAATGTGAATCATTTATTGATCAATATCACAGGCCGTGTCGCACTAGCGCCCTTTTTCGTGCAACTTGTGCCGCGCAAAAAAATGTTGAAGTTGCACGATGCCATGTCTAGCAAAATTCCGTTGCAATACCTCCCACAAAAAAATTTTCAAGTTGCACGCGTAAATTGAAAATGTACGATCATCTCACTTTCTGTCTCGTTTTCTTCTCCAAAATTATCGCTTTCGCCAAAAATGGCGTCGGCCATCTTTGTTGATTATTACAACAAGTGACAACAGGACAGATTCTCGCTTTATTATGGGTTCGAGCCGCATAATACATTGTATTCGTTAAGACAATCAATTTATTGCCCAGCTTCTGATTCAATCTTCTATTGTTAGAGATTTCTATAGTGCACTTACAATTACAGCGTTTGCATGGGCTTGTGCAGATTTCACAAGTATTGTTCTCGTTTTGATGCAGCCTTCTACTGTTCAAGATTTCTATACAGCAATTAAACTTATAGCCTTTCGGCTTTTCAAGAATTCACAAGTATTGTTCTCAATACATACGTATGTCGGAACTGTCAATTATAAGCATATGATTCCAAATTATTAAAGAAACCGATCTTTGTATTGAAAATCGAACATTCCTGCTTTCGTCACACCTTTGTTCTCATATCACACGTCTTTAATATACAAATCACGTGACACAATTCAAGATAGAACCGGTCTCCCGCCACTTACTCGTCACTTGTCACTGACAGTAGTAGTGAAAACAACTTGGTCAAAATGACAAACTCAAAACAAATTTTCAAAAATCTTCAAGAATGCCATGTTAGGGACATCGATTGGTCAAAAATACCTGCAAGATTAAACAAGGTAACTTACTTATTGACATCAATTTCATAAACGTTAGTGTCTAGATGCCCGGCAGGCGGTCACGGTCTTCAAAAAACTCGGTGCCCGGCAGTCCAAAATTTCTCCAAATTACGGCGACCAAATAACTGTTTCTGTGAAACCAGACTAGGGAGAGTTTGTTTAGAAATAGTAATTGATTCTTTTAAGCAGGTTCACTTTGAATAAAGGTTGCCGGTCTTTGCTCGGCATAACTTAACTTAACTTAGTATCTTTGCCGTGGTACTTTACAAATTATCCGTAGGAAACGGTCACGTTCTCTTTCTAAAAGTCGGCAAAACGGCTTTAAATAAGCAAATCAATCTTTCTTAACTTCTCGATTTTCAACTCAGTAGAGCGGTATTTATTTCCTAATCTATATTTCAGTTTGCCGTAAAGTTTGGCGATGTTCAGTTTGGCTAACAATTCTTGACTGCCGATCACGGTCTCTTAAAAAACTCGGTGCCCGACAGTCCAAAATTTCAACATTTTACGGCCAAATTACTGTTTCTGTTGAAACCAGACTAGGTCAAGTTTATTAAGAAATACTAAGCGACCTATTATGTACAGTTATTTGGCCGTAACTTGTTGAAATTTTGGACTGCCGGGCACCGAGTATTTTAGAGACCGTGACCGGCAGTCAAGGAAAGATCCCCAAACTTTACGGCAAACTAAGTTTAGGAAATAAATTATGCTCTACTGAGTTAAAAATCAAGTTAAGAAAGGTTTATTTCCTTGTTTAAAGCCGTTCTGCCGACTTTTAGAAAGAGAACATGACCATTGTTAAAACAAGTTTCCGACGGAAAATTAAGCTTAAGTGCAACGGCAAGTTTTATATTCCAAGAAAAGACCGGCACGCTTTATTCAAAGTATAGGCCTGCTTAAAACAATCGCTTAGTATTTCTAAAAAACATTTGCCTAGTCTGGTTTCAACAGAAACAGTTCTTTGGTCGTAATTTTTAGAAATTTGGGACTGCCGGACACCGGGTTTTTAGTTTACGGGCCGTCTATACACACTGTGAATTTCACTCAACTTCACTGACACTGAACGGCAAAACGCAAAATAAATATCTCAACGTAGTATTGAAACATAACCATAACAGTTTTATTTACGTTAATTATAGATGTGTTCCCTCTTTGCCAAACTGACTAAACAGCAAAAGACGTCTACTCTTATTGCACTAACAGTCTTGGTATCATTTTGCTTGGGGCATGCCCACCTAACACTGTATCCTGGATGGTCTGAGCCCATTATCATTTGGGTAGCAAATATATTGGGAACTGGTAAGTCAAACTTTTTCATTTCATTTCTCTTTATGTTTTGTTACTTTGCGTTTGTAAGGCCTATCAACTTATATTTTCAAACGCATAACTGCTATCAGTCATGTAAGAACTATCACAGGATTTCTATCAAACATCGTATTTACCATAATTACATACTATATTATAACCAAAATATGCATTTCAGAAATATTACTTCTCATATTTTATTATTGCGGATATGATTTCATACAATCTTTATATTTTGTTGTTCTTTGTATTCACGGCCGAGGCTTCGAGGGCAACTAATGCAACGCGTGCGCAATGGAACAATTGTTTTCTCAGTTCATTCGTGTTTATTATCAGCGGAAAGTATTCATCAAGGCATAAGTCTTTTCAGAGAGATTTCTAAAGATATACATTGTAGTTTTATAGAGCCTTTGAAGGAGATTCGATGTATTTAAGCGTACCAATAGAGAACGTGTAAACCTTACCTGAGAATCCCTCAAAATTAGATAAATATCTAACTTGGGTTGAGCTGAAAATCTTGAAATGAAATATCCCAAAATAAGAAAATTAGTCTTTAAGTACAGTGTGATTTGCCCACATTTCAAAATCTTTAAAGTTGCCACTGCTGCTATACCTTGTTAAAGCTTATCTGCTATAACTTACTCTTACTTTTATCTATCTTTTTTTTGATTACTAGGAAGATGTAAAAGTGCTCAACACGAATTCCTTATGGAAATACTGGAAGATGTGGCGTCAGTATTATCGGATCACGGAGAAGAAGTACTTCCAATGATCCTTCCCCATTGTACATGGGATAAATTTGGCGATTTAATGGCAAAAGGAGGAGGAAGGTCATTGGGCTTGTACGATGAATTATTATCATTTTTTGCTTCAATGAATATGTATTCATCGTGTAAGAATGCCGTTAGTGATACGAAGGAATATCAAGACTTCCTTCAAATGTATACGGGAAAGCCTAAAGCACGTGCTACATGTAAGTTATAACTTTACATGGCCCACAATATTATAATAATAATTCTCAGAAAACAAGTGATTCAATTGAAATGTACTACTTATGAAGCATTACATTCACACATCATGTCACCATGTTTCACCCATTTCATTTACAATTGTATCAGGGTACACCTAATTTAGTATCAAATGTAAAATCAAAAAATAATATTTCTTATCAATTTCAAATGATTTCTTTTAATGATTAAAATATTTATAATTGTATCTTTTTTTAGTGACTGGTAATGCCAACTTCAACATGAATAGAACTTCATTGGCTCTACTTGGATTCACACAACCACACACAGCCCTTCCAATAATACAGGATATCTCAAACAATGTGAAGGGGTTCACTTCACGTATACTATGGTTTTTTCCAAAACCTATTTATACCAAATACGAAGACAGCAAACTTAAGAAAGAAGAAATACAAGAAATTGATGTTTTGAAAAGAGAGCTAGGTATGTATATCTGCATGCAGACTTAGTAAACATGTAATGCATCAATGGTGGGTAGCGGTAAACTAGTGAGAGCTGAGTCGGTGTTTCTAAAGAAACAGTTGTGTAAAAAGATAAATTAAACACCATAAAAAAGTAAGAGAATTAGTAACTTACTAATACTGACGTTTCGGACGTTAATCCTTTGTCGGAGTAAAAGTCAACAAAGGATTAAAACATCCGAAACGTCAGTAACTAGTTTAACTTCTCCAGTACTAATGCATCAACGTACATGTTCCAAATTCAAGTGGGACATCTTCATTTCAAAATTTATCTCCCTCATTTATGCTAAGTATATGTTTTCATAATTACCTTAATACATACAATAAAATATACCTTAAACTTCTTCCAGATTTGACATTATCATAATATTACCACAATTTTATTTTTCAATATAAATATCAAGTGATATTATGGTGCATTTCAAAGTTAAATTAACATCATATATTCACATATTTAATACTTCATATTCAATATAAATATAGTTGTGTTTCTTATGGGCCAAAATCACACTGTAATAATTTATATAGAAACATTTACAATTTTTCGGTAACTTTATCTAGTTTTAACAGTTAATTTCACACTCAAGCAAAAACCTTGCTTACTAATACCTTCATTAACCTTACTCTCTGGTAAAAGAAAATAAAAAAAGACAAAATCCCAATCCTCATTTTAACATTTTATTGTTATGCCTTCCTATTAATATGTCATTATATTCTATTTTCAGTGCATACCCTTGCTGAATTATATATCCATGGACAGAAAACCTACAACATCACTGAAGAAGGCAAGACTCAGGTTGTTACTGTCAACAGCACAGAGTTCCATTTGACAAACGAAGCTGAACAGTATTTTGCCCAAGTTCATGACAATTGGGAATTTAACTTTTGTCAAAAGTTTGAACAGGACGCTATCATCGGAGGTGAATATTTTATATGGTTTCTTACTTAATTTAAGTGTCTACATCACCCATATATTGCTTGGTTTCAGATGACATTGTTATAAAATACTAACTTCTAAATACCAACACTATAAATATGCACTTCTAGTATTGTTTAGATCTTTAATATATAGTCTTTTATGCAAACTTCAATCCATGTGGTCTAATTAAACGTGAGATAGAGTCACAT